TGGCAGTGAGATTACTCTTCAAAATTACACGGTACAAATGGCAAATTGTGTCACTTACACCAGCAGTGTTTATGTTGTAATCAAGATTGATGTAACACTTGGGATTTTATCACAAATTACTCATTCGATAAATAATCTTTTTTTTTCCTGGAACCCTCTTTGTGAATTATTTCTTGCAAATGTAATCATTGCAAATATTGCATCACAAAGGATGTTAATATCACTTATGGTACATTACATTTCTTGTTTGATTAATTAACCTGCTACAATATTTTTAGTATGTTAACAATAAGAGTAAACATGCATGAATTATGCACTGAATAAAATTCCAATCAATGTGTAAATAATCCATGCTAGCTACAATAAAAGTCGGATGCAAGAATTAATCAATTAAATCTGATTTCCTTAACGAGTTTTGATTTACCTGGGCAGGTGAGACAATAACCCACCTGAGAACTTCCAGGTGATAACGAAAGCTAACGATCAATTACCTGCTCTTAAGACCGCAAGCAATGTAACAGACACCACTGATAATGTCAACATGTCACTTAGACGCTGTAATGCATCAAACGCTGAGATTTGTGTCGCATGAATAACCTCCCTTGAAGAGTCTTAACAGATGGTAGAACTGCTCTTAATTACCGCAATTGACGAAATTAAGCTGAACAAATATTGATATATCATGACTTTTCTTATTTAAGATGGTACTTGAGATATCTTTCCAGTGGAAATTAAAGACTACTTGAATCAGACTCTAAATTCACCCGGAAATTACGAAGTGATTCATACGTGAAAAACTTCAGTTGAACACAAACGAAAATATCAAGGTTTTGCAACAAGAACGTGGTCTTAAATACTTAACCAGATTCAAAACTGAATTAAAGTCAATTAATGTTTATGTTTTCCTTTAGATATAAGAGGAACTTGCATAAGTATCAAAAGTTGATTTTCAGGATAAAAGCACCAACTTGTATAATCACAACATTTCATTCACAAACCGGGACTTCAGTACAAAACATGGATAAAAAGCCATCCCATGATCAGTCAAAGCCTCCCCAAATCGAATTTAGTTGTCTCAAGAGTTGAAGCTAACATGGTTTTCTCCCCTTTGTCTGGACGCAATATCAATCAGTGTCATGGCATTCTTTTAACAAGGCAAAGGCTTCTACAGACAACTTTTTAAATTTTAAGAAGTTTTCACTTCAAAGCAAAGCTTCACCCAAAAACAAATTTTCAATGTATTTAGTGTCAGATAAACCAACTGCCAATCTTTTGATATCTTGGCATAAGCAAATCATGGGCATAAAACTTTATATATTACACCATAATTAAAAGACACACTTTTGTCTTTGTGAGGCTTTGATGCATTGATAACACACGGAACAGCTTCTAACTCTTGTCAAACTGTCGGAGGAAAGAAACTTTTCTTTCATTGTACCTGTGAAATGGACTTGACATGCTAAACACAGAATATTTATTTTAAACCACTGCATTTAAATTGTGTATTTCATGGTCATGTTTTTCTGTGAAATGACACTTCAGAATAGCCATACACATGGAAGCAAAAGTAAGAGAAGAACACTATTCCAAATGCTATCCAGTTTGTCGAGCCACTATTGCTTTGTTCTGTGCCATAGTGGGGGCAGTGGGGTAGCCTCGTGGTTAAAGCGTTCGCTCGTCACACCGAAGACCCAGGTTCGATTCCCCACATAGGTATAATGTGTGAAGCCTATTTGTAGTGTCCCCTCCCAGTGATATCGCTGGAATATTGCTAAAAGTGGCATAAAACCATACTCACTCACTCACTCTCTGTGCCATGCTGACATATCCAGGGTTTTGAAAGACGTTACACATTGACTTGATATACACAATACCATTTAAGACAAATACTTGTTCTGTTCAGTTAAGAAAAATACAAGCATACCAGAAAAGTAATTTGAATTCACATACAAATATCAATCAGTGTGTATTATGTGAAGCTATTTTAGTGTCAATAGAACAGATCAGGCTAATTCCCCTCATCTATTTGACAAAGTGCTTTTTTCTGTTGCCTTCATCGACCAGCTGATCTTTATGAGAATATCTCATATTAGTTTTTGATGTAATTTTTTAGCATAATGTTATTATGTCCCTGGCTAACAGAAGTTTATTTTCTCATTACGTGGAATTTGACTATTAACACAATTAAACTAACTTTCATCTCTTGTATCATAATGTAATCTTAGATGTTTTTGCATCAATTAAAAATGTAAAACACAATGTGGTGTAATTCAATTTTGGTAAATTAAGAAATACTGCACAATTAGGATGATATCATATCTCCAACATTCCAGTTTTGTTGAAGTATTTGACAAATCCAATTCTGGAGTTCTTTTACTAAATCCCAAGATGCCTTTGGTCTTGAATAAAACCATGACTAATCTCCAGCCAGTTATTCAAAGAAGGAATTTGAGGGTAATTGGGTCATCAATTGAGTTGAATCCAAACTGGGACAATTGCTGAGTTTCTGTCTTGGAGGAAGTGCCACTTCACAATTACCTGTGCCCTCTATTGACCAAACAATTACCAAATCTTGCAAAACCATGCGGTCTTGTCACCGATTTTAAAGAAATATGGTCTTTATTTGCACTTAATTTTCAGGTTTTTCACAATCAAAGACCAATGGCATGAAAAATCTATTGTTGGTATGTTAATTACATCAAAATTATCTTTTGTCATGTTAAAACTCAAGTGAATCATATAAAGAATCGGACTGTAAAAATGAATCATCCCCCATATCAGAATAATTATTTAAATGCTTCATGAAAAATCATTACACCTGTCAAATTGTAAACAATATTGTTACCGAATGTGTTATCCAGTTAAGCATCGAAGAAAAAGAAAAAAAATCATACTCTCTAAGATTCCCAAATACATTCTTGCATAGAAATGTGAAATCCAAATTGCCATGAAATGCAAGAACTTGGAACATGAATTCTTATGTAACAATAGTTCATAGCATTATGCACAAATCAATTTCCATTCACTACACATATATAACTTTGATCCAATTTATTCTAGTCATAAATCTCCCTAACCTGTGTTTATGCACAAAGCAAACACATTCAGCAATATGATCTATAATCAGTTGTGAGCACTAAAGCCAGGCTTTAGGCAATTGTGTTGGGTTTGCATGTGATGTTTAACAATCCCCACAAATTACAACAAATTCTCCAACAATTGATACAAGGTTTGCTAGTCACAGGCTTAAGAGCTCATCAATATTTGCCTTGTTATCCACTGAGCGCTCACATGGCACGTTGGAGAGTCCCTGAACAGTTTCAGGTCAACCTGTCCACAACAGCTCCCTCATTTCAGGGAGAATCCACAATAACCCCTGTTCATCTGACAAGGACTGGCAATGGGATTCACTGTGCTATATGCTGAAGTCAACCAGGTCCAGGGCATTAAAGTCATAGAGTTCCTGCTTTAATCTATGTTATATGGTGAACCAACATCATTTGGTTATCATGTTCAAGCACGAACACTCTGATATTGGGTACTAATGTGGGATTCAACCCTGGATCTTGTGCAAACGGAGAAAGTGCATTAACCACTTGTCTCTGTGACCAATTTGTTCACAACTTGTCTCTGATGTTTGTCGATTTTATCAAATGCATTGTCCAAATGTATTGACATAAAGAGGTTGAATAAGATGTTTGCTTAAGAATGAAAAGAGCCAAGGACAATCGGTTGTTATCATTCAAAAATACTATGAAAACAGCAGAAGAAATGTGGTGATTCAAACACACAATCTATAGAAAATCCAACAATAGTATCCTCATTCTGAAATCTGATTACACAGACGGACTATGCCACAACACTGAACGCTTTTCTCTAATGTCCGAGACTGGAAACAAATTCTAATTAATCTACACACTTGGCATTTTGAAGGAACGGCAAATTTATTCATGAAATACCCATTTGGGCCAGTGAACCTTTTGACGAGGGAGGTCCGAAAGTGCACTTTGTAAGGATTTTGTGAAGATTTCAAAGATAAAATTACCAATACCAAGTCTTTTCCTGTCCATACTATCGAATCAGGGTCCCGAAAAAAATAGCAACAGAACAATCATATTCAGTCCAGCAAAAAATTATTTCATTGAATTTGGTCATTTTTCATACAGTCTGGCAAATTAAGGAGGGCAAAGATCAAAGATTGGAAATCTAAAACTCTGATTGAAAATATTGACCCGATTTTGAGCGTCCCATAGCATCAAAGATATCAGCCATAGCCTCCTGCAGAATGCTAACATGATGTTGGGACAAGGTCTTGCAGGGGATATCCTTCTTTACGTTTGCATCATTTGTTCAAAGATGGTTGTCATATCAAAAACTGTTATGACCCAATCCTGTGTTGAATCTCAAGGCTTTTAATAGTTGCAAATTTGAAGAAGCACTTTAACTATATCAGGAAAAATCGAGGACAGATTGATTTGACTGATTTTAGTTTGAATTCAGAATGTTGACATTTCAAATAAACCTTTCCTGTGAGATATGACTTAATGTCTAAAGCAAAATAGCCTTGTAAAATTAGGAAAGCCCTGCAATAAAGTAGCTTTGGTCAGAGCTGGTGAGGATGCTCTGATTTTATTGTAAACGAACACTGCTCAAAATTAATGACTTTTTGTCATTTTTTCTGGACTGAAATTGATTGCCTAAACAAGCTTTATTTGCATGATGATCAATCAAATGATTGATCACTGTAACATGATTGTTAAAACTTTTTATTCTTTTTAATACTTTTTCACACAGATTTTCATTTTCAAAGTTTGACACTGCTTGAGAGTTATGTCCCCTTAAAGAGATCAGGGATGCACAGGTTTTCACTTTTTAAGGGTATGGCTGATCTGTTTACCATCTGTTTTCAGTGTTATTCTCAACTGCCACAGGATGATGTACCCTAGATATGCCTGAGGTTTAGTATTGCTGTCTTTTGAAAAGTAAGGGAGACAACTTACCTGTTCCGGTTTGAGCCCAGTCGGTACCCAGGCATACTCTTCAAGTGGACAGCCGCTGTCATCATCGCTGGTAGAGTTTCTCTTCACGTCATGGATGAGTCTGTTAAGGGTACGTTCTTGCTCGCCACCAGTCGCCATGTCATGTGCTTCGGGAGGACATTTGCAGTGTCTGCATATTTTTCTGAAATAAACAAATATGGCATGAAAATCACATTTTGATTGATCCAAGAATATATACCACAGCAATTCAAGCAGCATTCTGGTACAACACACTGAAAATGGAACGTCTAGGCATAATGAAACATCAAAAAAAGTCATATGCCATAAAATTGTGGGATTCCTCAAGGTTCATTACACTGGTGAGCATCTGGTATCATCTCTCACACTATTTATTTGACACTAAATATGTCCTTGGCGACCTTTCCGACTTTGCGACTACTTCTTGAACAGACTCCTTCAGTCTTAATTCATCATTCAGCTTCTACACAAAAAGGCAGAGCCATAATTATGTGAAGAAAATTCAGCCAAACTCAAAAACTACAATCCAAATGAACATGCAATCTGAGCTATTAAAGGATGTAACTGCACAGGCCATTTTTTATAAGCAGCAGTGAGACTATTGAATAGCACCTTAATGAAGAAACTATCGACGACTTTACAGAAATCAATCAATGAGAGGCAGGTCAGTCTGCCCATCGGCAGTACATGGACCCGCTTCCGAAACCACGAAACAGCAGTGAAAGTGCCCCCAATGAGCTATGGAACTTGAAACTATGAATGATAATGAAATATTAATACATTCTGTTGGCAATTAGAGGGCGCAGGGGGATTAAACCTCCCGTCTCGCTGAGAAAAGTTCATGAGAACACGCTCAAATGTCAACATTCACAAACGAGCTAAGTCCACTATGCCCGCTAAACCCCAGATTGCCGTAAATAGCATTTAGTCAACTGACGTTCTTAACACTTTCTAAATAGACTTGACACGTGATGGAATCTCAAGGATTTTTTTCCAAATAATGATCGCATCTCAGAATGTTTTGCACTTTACAACATATCATTTTCAATGTAAGTTTCTTTTACTTTTTGGTTCATCAGGATGTTTTAAACACCAACAAAACATCTAGTCAACAGCAGAAAAGAGACTAGTCATTTGTTAGCTAGCTCATCCGAACAACGCTGGGAAGAATGTCAATACAGTTCCCCCCTGCCTCCACCTCTCTCCAGCTCAGTCTGAATTCCAACAATTACGTACCACTTGTTTGATGAGAGAACAGAGTGAATCGATAATGTCTAACTTCCGAGACTTGATGCCGGGTTTTTACCTCAACACGAAAACCTACTGTTCCCTATATATTCAAGACAAGGCTTAATTACAACCTGTAGATGCTACAGTGGTAGGTAAAACACTATATTACACCTTCACACTACACAAAAAGTCAGGGGTCGTGTGTACAAAGTATTGGTTCTCATTCAAACAGACAATTCCATGATAATCTGATTATAGGCTTGTGTAAGCATGGGCTTAGCTTAAGTAGACGCAATGATTGTAACCACTGAAAACACGTCAATATATCTCAGGACTGCGAAACGGGATGTGTTAAAGAGCCGTGAAAACTCAGCAAGCTAACCACAAGACTTGGGAGTTTCACACACACTGTTTTGAATATTGGGGGTGTCTGTTGATCATACTGGGACACTGTGCGACCCAGTTTACAATAAGACTTGTTTTCGGGATATTCATAGATCACCCAATCCTGATTCTTAGTCATCCCGACAAGCGATGGCTATTGGGGGCCTATTTGGATCTTGATGCTGTCATGATCTGCATGTTTGTAAAACACAAGGGAAGCAAGGATCACTATTGCTTCTATCAAAATTATGTCATATATTTCATCTTTTCAATCTATAGCCAGAAAAGAATTTCATGCTAATATTTTCACACATAACATTAATTTTCTCTTCAAAATCTGAAAGTCAGTCAGCAACAAGCATCAGTGAGGGCATCTCTCTCGTGTGCATGATTGAGTATTCATAACTGACCAGTCTTATCAATTTTTGAAAAAAGGTAGAATACTGTCTCCTAAAAATCTCAAAGTCATCAACAACTCACAAACATGTTAATCAATATCAGATGCAAATTCTTCTTTAAAACTTGCTAAATCTTAGCCCATCCTAAACCTGGTTACATTTGAGAGATTACTGTACCAGACATTCGTGACAGATCTTATCTCAGAGGAGAAAATTGAATTATGGACCACAAAAGAGCTAGAAGTGGAACCAAATCAAATTAATCGTCACAATTAAATTTGGAGCAAGTGCATGGAAGGCTGTATACATAGGATCAGTCCTGTGGGAAGAGCTATGAGAAGAGATGCAATTAGTATAGCATGTACATGAATATTCATTAGGATGAGCTATTAGGGATATTGCCCTTCCTGCAACAGGTTTACCAACTGTTGGTGGTCACTGGTCAGTCCAGGCTGTATATAAATGACCGTTTGACCACCTTACAGCGCCAACAGCACCTACAATCCACACAAGCCTTCCCAATGTCAAATCTTGATTGCTTTATTCCTGGAGGAGCTTGGATGAAGGTGATCAGACAATTTATTGGATATTATTTCCAAATCATACTCTGAATTAATTTGATTACAAAAATGGAAAATGCTGAAAATCTCATTTTCATACTGGTCCCACATACAAATTGGGTTTTGTATTGGCCAAGAAATAACTGTGTATTTAACCGGATTCTTATTTCATCATTAACAGAACTTAAAAAGCACAGTGAATACTGAATGGATCTGTTGAAGACATGTCACTGGGAAAATTATCAATCAAGGCTGAAGAAGGCAACCACAGAGTTGCCACCAGGAACACTAACAGATTACAAATGTAAGCCAGCCATTTATTTCGTTGGGCTGCACTTGACAAGCAATTTGAGTCACTGATCATTCTCTGACTGCTGAAGACACACTGAATGCTTTCTCTCCCTCTTAGGGTTGGTAATGTGTCCATCATTATCCCCTCATTTAGCTAACGAGCCAATTCTCCTTCCAGCATCTACCTTAGAGGAGGTGGGCAGGTGAGGGTAGGGATAAGATAGCAAACACTTTGATAATCAATTATACCTTCCATTTGTTTTCTTATAAACCTTAACTTCATTTTTTTATACAACCAGGCATTTTGGGGGGCATGGTAAATCAATTAACAAGTAAGTTGGCAACAGTAGAATATTGATCGTTCTCAGGTGAAAATCATCTGCAAAATCTTCAGCCCTTGTGCGCCTCAAAGACCTTTCTGCCAGGAACAGCATTTAGTTCTGATCTATCTTGTACAAATTATCCAATCTTTGCCAATCAACTCTTAAATATATCAACATAACACTGATTGCAGTCGTGGATTTATGAGAGCCTGCACCTCCATGTGTGCTGGCAATGAATTACCCACAACTTAAAGCCCAAATCTACATGTGTACTAGGCGATACTTCTTCGTTAAATAAGGGCAAACCTCCAACACCATGTGCTTCGGGCATGTGGATAGTGTTGAAAAATGTCAATCAGCAAAACCCAAGTTTTGAAATAAAAATCATTCATAAGAAATAATAATGCTACAGTTGACAATATCCTGCTAAATGATGGTGGCTTGGTACAATCAAACCATCATGATACACGAACAAACTCCTCATCCCTTGCCTTGTGCTTCAGGAAGGTCAAAGCTCAGGGCCAATCACAGCAAACTTGAAAAAAAGCAGCAGTATTATTGAAAAAGGTTTCTCTCCCAAACAATTGTACCCCATTGTCTGCATTAGAAATTTAGTCCTTCTCATAAATCTGTGCATCATGATGAAAATGATGATGATGATGATGATGATGATGATGATGATGATGATGAAGAAGAAACTGTAAAATCAATTCTTTGTTGTCTTTGTTGACTAGTAATAGCTTAAACCAAACTCGTAATAGGTATGGTTTTCTCCCCATCACTATTCACCGATGCCAATTCTCTTTGCAGCATCTTTTGGATCGCAAGATAGACTGCAATAAATGTTAAACAAGCCAAGTCCCACGCTGCTAACAGTTAGATCACTTCCAGCAGGCAAAAAAAAACAGTGAAAAAACACAACTGTAAACTGCACTGCAAACCCTCATCTTCAAAACTGGACTATTTATTATGCCTCTTGGTGAAGTTCCAAATCACAGCCTGGCAAATTAAGCAGATCAGATAGTCTCTAGATTTCTGTTCCAGTAGCATGGCAGTGGGATCTCTCACTACCGATCAGGAGGGAGAACTCCCGGCCACCATGTGTTTACACATCTCAGCACACTGCAGGGAGTTTTGTATTAAACATGTCATGTTTGCGATGGAAACCTCTGATAACTTTCAAAGACAAGTCTATATCTTCTCAGGGGTACATTCTCACTGACGCTTCATCTGGTAGCCTTTGGTATGTCACGTTTTAAAAGTGCTCTGTGTATATCACTATAAACATAGGTACTTGTCATTGACAAGGTCAGTAAAGGTTTCATAACCCTGTCATTCATACGCCAACACTTGAGGCAATAACTTGTTCCTGGTCCCTGTTAATGACAGGGTGACTGAACCCTGAATGTTTGTTTGTGAGACAACTTTTTATAAAATTGATTTTTTTGGTTATTGACACTAGCAATTTTTTTATGACTTTTGTAACTTAAAATGGTCGGGCTCTTTTCTGATTAATCCATGCATTGGTACGAATTGAATATTTCAGTGAAAAGCTGCATACAGGATAATAAATGCTCAACCTAGCTGTCTGATCTTAGTCAACTCTCAAGACAAGGATAGTCTGTCCCCCGGTCTGCATGACTCAAGCATATCTCAGGGAATAAAACATTTACAACTTTTTTATGTTCCAAAATCAGAATGAGTATATCCCACTTTTATTTCTCCTTGCATAGTCAGCTAACTGTGGGTAACTATTTTCAGCAATTCAGTGCTATCAATAGCAGTTGAAATAGTCCTGGATTGATTGACTATCAGTCTCAATTGCTGCCACTCCCCACCGGCAACTTTACTGTCACACCAATATAGTCCTGTTAGGTTCATTGCGGGTTCCATTCAACGATGTCTACATTGTGAGCAAATCCATTTTATTCATGAAAATTGTTCCACTCCCACATTCCCACACAAATTGAGCAATTG